GGATGGCTCCTTGCTGAGTGGGAGTAGCAGTTACAAATAACATGCCGAGGTAATAGGCAAACACCAAAGTTTCAATTTTATTTTTCAACCGTATGGCCCGCAGCAAGGCCGTATGAGTCGTGTCCACGCTTTCTACGAGATCATGGGTCTCCGCAAATGGAGGTAGCACCACAAATGGAGGTGGAGTTACAAGAACACCAGAAGGGACGAGAGAGGTTATATCTCTAATGATTGCGTGGATGTCCATTTTTTTTTTTTTTTTTTTTGAAGTTGTAAAGATAAAATGGATCGAAGTTTTGACCTTGGCTATATATACAAAAAAAGAAACCCTCTTTTGATCTACTATTTATTTTTTTTTTTATTTTTTTTTTTTAATCACACCCTTATTATCAAAACATCATTCATCCCTTACTTCTTTTTATCACGCAATATACATCTTAATTTAATATCCTTCTTCCTTCGGTGTCCCTTTGACGATATCTATACTTTTTAATTAGACTAGTACTAATTGGGGTTGATACAACTTGACCTTCCATTGTGCGCAACTTGACTACATTCCAGTCAAAAACCTGATGAATGTAGTATAGGCCTGACTATTTTGGTTCAAGCTTTACACTATGACTATATTGTTGGGACGCACGGTACACCAATACTTTTTTTCCTATTCCAAACTCAGTAATATTCTGAATTTTTCTATCGTGAAGCTGTTTTTGCCTATTCTGCGCCTTTTGTACTTGAAAAATGGCAGCTTGGTGGATTACCAGTAACATATTTACCAGCCCTCGAACTCTTTGGGCTATATTTTCCCCAACACTTTCGCTTGATTGAATGAGCTGTCTTGTATCTCGACCGTAGGTTAGATAGAATAGTGTTATTCTTGTAGTAGAATGCTTCGAAGTTTGCTAGGCAAACAATATAGATGGGATAATTAAATCCCAATCTGCCACATTTTCCACAGTTTTGGCAATTGACTCGCACAGGGTCCGGTTAAACCGTTCTACCAGCCCATTTGTCTGGGGTGGTATGGCGTCGACAAGACATGCTTAGTTTGGAACTTTTCTAGTAATTTCCGAACTAGCTTATTTTGGAAATGAGTCCTCGATCTGACAGGATCAACTTAGGGCACCCGTGATGGCAAATTATTTCATTGTACAGGAAATCGGCCACTTCCTGAGCATTTGCTGAACTAATAGCTTTAGCTTCTAGCTATTTAGTCATATAATTTGTTGCCACTACAATATACCTACTTGTTCTAGATGTGATAGGTAGTGGTCCTACAATATCTATACCAACTTGATAAAAAGAAGCCACGACCAGTATAGGGTGGTTAGCCAAGGCTTACCTCATCGTTGACATTGTTCACAGGACTTTACATACTCTCGTATTCGTTCATATAATTGAGGCCAGTAATAGAGTTGCCTTATTTTCTAAAACATGGTTTCAATCTCTAAATGACCTCCTAGTGGGTGATCATGAACCAGATATAACACTGGTTCTACTTCTTGGGTTTGAATAACCCTCAACGGCTTATTTG